GCTGTAAGAACCATAGAAATCCAGGAAGAAGGAAAAACTATAAAATGACAACTCTCTTCAGTTAGATTTCTGCCCAATGCAGGCACAAAGAAATAATTTTTCAACTTCAATGATCTGCCATATATTTCAATACTTTTTCCGTATCCACACAATCACCTGCAATAGTATTTATTTTTCACTAAATGGATTCATTTTACTCAAATAATTTTATTTAAGAAGGGAACTTTATATGACCACCATGGACAGCCAACCTTACACACCATTAAATAGAAATTAACTAAAAATAAAATTGAAACAAAAGCAATGCTACCGAAGTCTAGCTGAATACGTTTGGTTACCAGCCAAAAACTCCTGGCCTGGGGCCTTTTCGCTCTTGATTTTTAAAGGGGGATATTAACACGTGTTAGGTATTAAAGACCCTCCAGCACCAGTGTGAGCCCATCTCATCATCATCAGGTCTGAAAGAGAATAGAAAATGGAAACGGAACACCCTTCCCGGTGATTTGCACTCAAGGTAGCACCTGGGCACTTCTGTTATCGGAGTCTGTGAACAGTGACACAGGCCACATTCTTTCATACAGACCTCAGCCGCCAGGCGCTGTGAGCCCCACGCAACTGAACCACCGAGAAGGTGCGGGAGTCACAGGGTCCCACGCACTTCTCCACGGACCTGCAGGGCCCGCGCTGCGCCCTCGGCAGCCCTGCGCCCACCCTTCCCGCCCCGGGGCCGCCACGGCGTCGAGGCAACAGGCAGCAGGGACACCTTGCGCGGATGAGGCACCTGGGGCGCGGCTACCCCACGTGCTTAGCCAAACAGCCAAACTACCTGGGGCTCTCCCGCAGTATCAGCGGCCCGGACGCCGCCATCCTCGAAGCTCCCCCACCCAGCCGCTGCCTGTCAGCTGAGCCGAGCNCCGAGCCTTGGGCGCCTGCAAGCCGAGCGCCCGGACACCTGTCCTGCCGTCCGAGACCAGCGAGGGGGCGTCCCCGTCGTCCTCCCGGTCATGCTAACCTTGTCGGAGTTAAGGCTGAACATCTATATTTATTTAGATTTATGTATTTACTAATTATATATGTATGTACATACCTGGATAGGTATTGTGTATATTTGCGTATTTTATGCATGCATATGTGTATATGCGTAATGTCTGTAATATGAGTATGTGTGTATCCACAGATATATAATATAGACAGCAGTTTTTAATTTTTTTCAATAAGGCAGGTTTAAGCCAGCCTTGCGGCGTCTGGCCCGCGGAGAGGAGGGCGGTGGAGCGCGCTTGCAGAGCTTGCCCCGGACGCCAAGCCTCAATCCCGCCATGCCGGAGAGGTGGTGCCTCCTGCTCCATCCCCGGCACGGTGCGATCGGCCCCTCCTGTATCTGCATCCCGGAGCTCGGCAGGGCTCCACGCAGGGCTTGCAGTTCGGACGTTCAATTCCTTCAACAATAGTCATTGGCAGCCTACTATGTGCCAAGAACTGTGGAGGCACTGGGGATACAAAAGACCAAAGTTTCTGCCCTCGGGGTTTACTGGAGTTCAAATGGACAAGTATTTGTTGCACCCCTCTTTTGAGTGGGCACTGCGTAGTAGGGAAGGTGAATCCGCAGAGACAACTAAGGATCTCAACAGGGATGAGGGAGACAACGCGTTTTCACAAACGCCCTGGTGTGCCTTACAGAAAAACATAGAGTGCGTTGAAGGGATTCAGAGGTGGCAGCAGTGAAGGACTTTGGAGGTAGGATCAGGAAAATCCTGGGGCAGGTGGCATATGCGGAGAGGCTGCAGAGATGAGGAGAGCGAGGAAAGGCCAAGGAGTAGAAGGGCGATTTGAACGGAGTTTGAAGAACAGTAAGGAAATAAGACTAGAAAGGAGCCTTGGATGACAGGTTGTGGCATGTGCATTTAATATGGTGAGAAATGGGTAGCCGTTAAGTCTTGCTGTTGTTTCTCATTAAGTGTTTTCGAGCAAAGAAACTTTGTAATGGGGGCTGGGGTCTTTTGTTTTGTTTTTTTAAGATTACTGTCAACAGAAAGATGATTGTATTGAAAGAGGTAAACAGAAAGGCTACATATGAAACTAGTGCAATAATCTGTGAAAAGCAATAAAATCCTGTAGTACTAAAAAGGAATCGGGGAATGAAAAGATCGTGGATGGATTAGATTTATATTTCAGCAGCAGAATCTTCAAGAGCTGGTGAAAGATTGAATATAATTTTCCTAACTAATTATGTTTTACTTAAATTATTATTTAAGTTAGTTGGCATTCCTGGAGCAGCCCAAAAACATCCTAACGGAAAGGAGAAACCAGATTGCAAATTAAAAGTGAATAATCTCCACATGGATAATTGAGTCAATTATACAGTGTGTTGAACACATACAAATACATTTAGTTCTACAACACTCCACACACTCCCCAGTTTATGCATATCTGAAAAAGATGGGTGTGAATCTACATAAATTACATGGCTCTGCTCCAAGCACAGATTACCTTACCTGGCACAACTTTTAAAAGATACCAGTTTTCTCAACCTTTGATTCATTTCCCTTTTGTCTTGATTCTTTGCCTGAAGTAGAGCCACTAACCAGTTAAAACTGTTGTAAATCTCTAATGAAGTTCACCTCTTACTTCATTGCCTTGAAAAACAGCTGAGATGTTGAGCAAAAGAGCATCAAAGTGGTTGAAGTCCTGAATCTGTGTAACCTCGGACAAAGTACCTAACCTCACTAAGCTTCCCACTTCTGATCTGTAAAATGGGGATGAGAATAATGTCTGCACCCCTGGACTGTGGAGAGAATTAAATAATGTGATGTGTACATACAAGAAACACTTACCCTCCTTAGAAAACAAAACTCAGACCTCCAAGGTTTTCACAAAAGAGAGTTTCCAGTGGTCAGGACACCCAGACCTCTCACTCTGTCTTCATTTTCAGTGATAGGCTGATTGCTTATTACCACTTGTTGCTATAAAGGCTTGATGCTGTGAATAATTTCACCTCTCAAATGAGAGCCTTACGCAAGATATTTCTGCATTCTCTGGAGTATAGGCATATATATCCCTGTAAGAGTCCTTTTAGTTGTTTACCTGTTGCTGCCTGGTACAGAAGAGGAAATGTACTTCCCAGAGGCAGAATTCCATAACAGCTCTTTACCCTTACCCCCTAAACTTGTCAGCCCATTTTTATGATTAATCCAGAGGCTAGATCTGCTGCCCCTGATCTATTATGACTACTAAGCCATGCTGAATGCCTCAAAGTTTTTTCCACATCTTTGCCTTCATTGCAAATATCCACCAAGTCTACATTTTCTGTATTCTGTGTTAGCCTGTATTCTCTAGAACACAGCCTGAGTTATACATGCTAGTGCCTCATTGGGGGCTATAATTGCAGGGAAGTAGGAGTGAGGACAAAAGGAAAGTAAGGAAGTAAGCCAATACAAGGTGGCATGTTATCCAACTGGTTACAGCTTCAAAACCTAGCTTATTTCTCAGTACTGTGGGATATTTCTGGAAAGGTGTTTGGAGTCACTGTGTCTTGAAACAACCTGGGGGTGGGAGAGAAAGAAAGAATTTGTAAACTCTTTCCAATTTGTTTCTCTCTTGTCAGTAAAAATTTGTCCTATGGCTCATACTACCCTCCAACCCCCCACACTTCTGGGGTGTGTCACTGTGCCTCTGTGCAGCCCCACTGGAGAATCCAAAGCTTCCATGGGTCTGGCAGAGTAGAAACTGAGTCCTGCAGCTATAGGAGAAGAGGAACCCAGGGCTCAATCCCTACCCATAGCCCTCTTCTGATCCTCCCCCTTTGCCCCCGACCAAGGGTGGAAGTGAGTGGCAGGGACTTTAAGACCACAGGAACAGTTCAGAGTTTCCAGGTGCCATTTTGTCAGGAAAGTAGAGCAATGTGCTGAAGCCTGGGACTCAAGTGAGGCCATGTTTATCTGGGGAGTTACATAACTTGGAGACAGTTATATTCCTTTAGCGGATTCTCTAAACAAGAGTTGCTTGGGCCCTGGGTGTTCCAGTATTTGTTGTGCAGCTTTTTCAATTCACTTCCACCTAGTTTTTTTCCCAAAGTACATCTCAGCACAGGTTGGGGTGAGGTCTGGTGTCAGCCCTGCACCTGTGGGTCAACACCTCCTCCTGAGTGTGAGCTCTGTCCTCTGTGGAACTCCTCCCTTTTGGCAGGGTCCTTCTCCAGGGCCTCTTTGTGATCTCTGCCTACAGCTGCAGTGTGTACTCACCCTCTCCCCACTAGGCATGATTTATATTTTTGATACTCAATGAAGTAGAGCCAAAGTCTGGGACTTTTTTCTCTCAGAAGTCTCTCCAGCCCTAAAATAATTCTAGACACACCAAGGAGCCCCACCCAAATCTATTCAATGTCCCAGTTCCAAATGCAAATGATTATCTTTGGAGGAAATGTTAACACTTACCCACCAGAACAGCATCTGAGCCCCAGGAACCCAGTCAAGCTGAAATAAGCTTTTAAGTGAGCTTTCGATATGTACTATCAAATTGGGGTGTGCACACATCTTATTATGCACCCAAGATTGTTCTGGCAATGGGTTGTCTAATTATCTGGCCCAGCTCCTTAACATTTTGGAAGTCTATAGTCCTACAACTCATCCTGAGTTTATCAGGTGCATCTATCAAAGAGTGGCATAAGGGCAGAGGACTAAATCCCCCTGTTACTCATGATCAACCCCCCCCCCGACTGACTATAAAACACAAAATTCATACTCAGCTGCTTTGTCAAGTTCCTTTCAGAAGCCATTGGCCCAGTTTTCCTCCTTCCCACCCCCACACTAAACACACACCTCACCATCACTCAGTCACAGTTTCTAGCCTTGTTTTTAGCTCTGTAGTCAGCACTTGCCTCAGAGGTGTGAGAGAATCAATGGCAATATCACTAAAGAACACCCTTCTAGGTGGTAAACATGTAATTGTTCATTCCACATTTTCTCCCCAGATTCCCAGGGGAATGAGGTTTTAAAATTACATATTTTTATTTATGAGTTAGTTATGTGAATGCTCCTATTTAATGTGAGATACATGAGGAATAAAGAATACTTTAACATAGTCAACTCACTGAGTATTTGCATATCTGGCTGTGATGTGAAAAGGAAGCAAGAAGCTTAGAAAAAACGAAAAGAAAGAATTGTATAAAGGTTGCAGGCCTCATGTGCCCATAAAAAACCGTTATTTATGTTCACTTACTTTTAATGAAATGGATGGTGAGGAAGGGGATGGGAGAGAAACCTTTATTAAAATGTAGCAAAAATACACTTTGTGATTCGTGAACAGACCCTTTCTAATCTATTATCAAACTTGAAGTTGAAAACCATCTCAAATTATCACCCCTCCATTTTCATTTGCACCTAATTTCTCCCATCCTACCTCCCAGAGGCCTGTGTCATTAACAGTAGTGATATTTACACATAGAATGTGTGAAAGACTGAATGGTTTCTTCAGTAATTTTCACCAGTGAACACCGATTGAAAAGAATTAGATGGCACCTCCCATACAGACATGTCAAAATGAGGCAAGATTACAGATTGCCTTTTACCCAATGACTAGTAAAGGAAATACAAAATAGTAAGCACCACAAATAGACAACAAGAAAAAAGAAATCCACTAATCAATAGTAAACAAACAAGGAAAGAAGTATAACTTAATACTGCACTTGAAAAAGTGTCTGCCAAGAAAAGAAACAGAGCTTCTGCCTTAGCAAAGCTGGATCCTAAAGGTAGTTCCCAACTTGCTGAAACTGTACAGGAAAAAGGTGTCCACAAAAGCATGAGAATTGTTTTTATATCCCCCCATTTGGAGAGGAGGATAATTGGAGGTAAAAATCAGCCAAGAGAAAGTCAAAGGAAATCCCTGAAGAATATAAGTCCCAATTTATATTGG